GATCATTTTTAATTGCCATATATTAGATTTTGGAATCAGTCCATGCTTACCATAGAAATTTTGAAGAAATGACTTAGGGTTTCTGTTGCTGTATTGCAACACCATGATCACAATCACCTCGAAGAGCAAAGAGTTCATGCATCTTACAACTTGTGTTGCATCTTCTAGGGAAGTCAGGGCAGGAATTCAGAGCAGAAGCTCAGTCAGAAGCTGAAGCAGAAGCCATGCAGGGATGCTGCTTACTGTCTTGCTCAGCCTGTCTTCTACCACCCAGGATCAGCAGCCCAGGGTTAGCACAGAGAGCTAGGTCCCTCCCCCACATCAACCATCAAGAAGGAAAATTCACCACAGGCTTGCCCACAGGCCGATCTGGCAGGAGCATTTTTACAATCAATGCTACCTCCTTCCTAATGGCTCTAGCCTGTGTCAAGTTGACATAACTAGCCAGCACAAGAAGAAAATCAATGCTTGGGGGTTGGAGAGATGGCTCGGTCTAAAAAGTGCTTGCTTTACTGACTTTGATTCACCCCCACCTCAGAAACCCATGCAGAAGATCCAGTGAGGTGATGTATGCTTTAATCCCAGGGCCCGAGAAGCAGAGTCAGGCAGATCTCTGAGGCTCTCTGGCTAGCCAGCCTACTCCAGGCTAGTAAGAGAACCTTACTCAAAAAAACAATATAGTGGCCGGGCGTTGGTGGCACACGCCTGTAATCCCAGCACTCCGAGGCAGAGGCAGGGGGGTCTCTGTGGGTTCGAGGGCCGCCCGGGCCCCCCCGCACGGGCCCCGGGGGGGGCCCAAAACAACAACAAACACAAAAACAAAAAAAAAAAAAAAAAGAAAAAAAAAAAAAAAAAAAAAAAAAAAAAAAAAAAAAAAAAGAGTTCTACATCTGAATGAGCAGGCAGCAGGAAGAGAGAGTGACACTGGGCCTTGTTTGAACATTTGACACCTCAAAGCCCACTACCCTACTTTTCCCTCATTATTAGAAATAAGATTGATATCAATCTCTTTGGAGCCTAATTTCTTACTGTTATAGATGGAGTTTTTTGCAAGCAGGAACCCCAGGCTGATAGTAATCTAGATATTAATGCTAGTTAAGAGTGCTTATGTTAACTTGCATTCTCCAACTGTGTAGCCTTTGGTACCTAGTCCTGAGTGTTAGCATTAAAAAAACTGAAACTATATATTTGCAGGGAAGGAGGGGGAATTATAGATTTGAACCTTTTGAGTGTTTACTTGCTGCTTATATTTCCTCACTGGAAAATTAACAGCTTTAAGTTTTTATCTTTTGTTGGCATTCTAGTTTCTTTATAGCTGATTTGTTTGCATTCAGTGTTTATTAAAGGTGTTTGTCATTATTTAGCAAATTGAATGCTGACTGACTGTTGGGAGACCTGTGTTGAACATTGAGAATATAGTTCTGAACAAGGTGTGAAATGATCCCTGCCATTGTGAAATTCACAGTCTAGAGTGAAAGACAGTGAGTATATGTATAACTTGTGATGGATGTTGTAAGGCTACAGTGAGAACATGAAACAGAAGATGAGGCTGGCCTACAGCAAAGACTGGCAAGCTCCAGTGCTTTTTGACAGCTTTAATAAAATTTGATTGGAGCATAGCCATGTTAATTCTTTTAGATATTGTCTGTGACTACTTTTGCAATCTAATGGCAGAGCTAAGTGGCTTTGATAGTTATTATGTGGCCTACAAGCCTAAACTATTTACTAGCTGGCCCTTTAAATGGAAAGTTTGCTGATTCCTGATCATTTACATTGAGGAGGGCTTTCCCTTTGGCACTAATGTTAAAAGTGAGACTTGAGAATGAGTGAGCTTTGGATATGCCAAGAGTCCAGGAAAGGAGCTTTCTGGGCAGAGCAAACCACTGGGTGAGGGGTTTGAAATAGAAAGGCATGTGTACAGTTTGAAGCACTAATAGATAACCACAGTGTGGCTGGCTGGGTATGGTGAGTCAAGCTGGGGATTGAGGGTATCTGTCAGGCAGAGGGCCTCTGAGGCCATATAAAGAGAATGGGTCACAACTGAAGGATTTATGCATAGCACAGAGGTGACCAGACCACACTGAAAGCAAGCATGAATGTGGAGTGGATTTGAAGACTTGTGGACACTCTTACAGTGACCCAGTGGGGTTGTTAATGGCTTGGTGAGAGTTGCAGCAATGGAACTGCTTTGCTTCTCAGGGAAGATAAGGTCAGCTCTGACATGAACTATCTGAGTTACCTTTAAAGATTCACAGTAATTCAGGCAGCCAGGAACCTCCATGCTGGGAGGAGTGAGCATGGTGGTGCTGTTGGCAACATTTGACTGTTCAGGAGGTGGAACTGGCAGGAGAATGAAGTGTTCAAAGAGTGGATAGCAGCCCCTTTGAGACCTTTGGCTGTGGAGGAGAAGGGATGTCAACAGTGGAAGAAGGCATAACATGGAGGAAGAGTTCACAGTGGAGTGGCATGAGCTGATTGGATGGGAAGATGAGGAACAGTGGGTCAGTCCCTTCCCCCTCATCCCCGGCCCTCCACCAGAATCTCTCAACTGACATGCAGGAAACATGGAAGCTGATTCCTGCCACAGATTCAGTTGGACTGCTGTCCTGAGCTTGCCCATGTGATTCCAGTGTGTGACATCATCATTAAGAACCAGTAGTAAAGCACAGTGGGCCTTGTGGGCACAAGCTAGCAGCTTCAGTGTCACCTGGAAGCCTATTTGAAATGCTTCTCTCAGACTTGCCAGATGATTTCAGTGTTGAGTTACTGCTGTGAAGGATGGTATATACACTCAGAAGTCAGGACCCTGGAAAGCCACTCAGCACTTCCCCGCTAGGCCTTCCTGAGTGTCCTTGGCTGCATTTCTGCAGGCCATGTGCATTTTAAAAACTCGTATTTTGTTGTATATTAAACTGTTTTTAAAGTTCACATTTATTAACTTGTCGACTTATGGAGTATAGTGTGAAGTTTTAGTCATGTTTACATTGTGTAATGATCAAACCACAGTGATTAGTGTATCTGTCACCTCAAACATTTATCATTTGTTTGTAGTAAAGCTCTAAAAATCTTGTCATCATTTCAGAATGTATGATACACCTCACTGTGCTGCAACACCAGAACCTGAAACTAGTCCATTTCTCCACATTGTTTCAGTTAAAGCTAAATTTGAATATTTGAGGAAACTTCGTTCAGAGCCACATGATCTGGCTCCTGTTCCAAGCTCACTCCAAAAGGAAGTGTGCAATGCTGATAGGTACTTAAGATGGGATTTACCTTAGCTAATTTCACTCTCTCTGAAACACACTAAAAGAAGATGTTTAGTCATCAACTATTTCAAGATAGGGAGTCCAGGCAAGGATATAATATCACACAGGTTCTAGGAGCTGGAAGACAGAGGGAAAAAATGGTGACTGAAGTAGTCTGAGAAAGTAAAAATGCCGAGAGGCTCTGGGGAAACTGAGGGAAGATGCTGGCTCGTGACGCAGAACTCTTGGAGACTCAGTTGCTTGTAGCAGATGTCCCCACTCCACTCAAGGGGCTTCCTTTCCCAGATGGAAGGCTGAAATTTTATCCCCTGCAAAGATAAACAGAAGTGTGTGGAGTAAAGGCTGCCAGGCCTGTGGAAGGTGTGGACACCAGTGTGTGTGCTGTGCGCCAAGGACTGAAAGCTAAGGTGAAGGTGGAAGTCCTGGAAGGACAGCCTTCGGCTGTCAGTGTCCAGGTGCTTAGAGAATTCAGGACCAGAGAGAAGGGATCGCTGAATTAAAGATACAGCCTTGAAGTAGATTCCATTCCAGGGTGGATGGTCCAAGGGGAGGGAAGCAGGTTGCTGGAGATGGGTCCAGGGTTGAGTCAACAGCATCCACATGGTTCTGCAAATCATCTCAACAATCCCAGGGCTTGCAGGAGTAAGACTGAGGCAGATAGGTACCAAAGTCAGGTGCCTTCTTGCACCGCAGGAAGGGCAGGGCCTGAGGAACTTTTTATCTCTTTAGTAGTATTAAGACGGGTAACTAGTTTGCGTGGCCTCGTGAAGGATGGAGGGCATTCAGCTGACAGTTCAGATACTGTTAGAAGGGAGTTGGGATGTTGGTTTGCCCTTTAGTCTCCAGAGGTTGCCGGGTATGGCAGACAGCTGTGGCAAAGATTCTGTACCTCAGCACACACGGAGGAGCCAGGGTGAGCCGTGCCCTGTTGACTCCTGTGACTCTTGTACCTGTGTTTTTAACCAAATATTTACTGTTCACCTTTTAAAGTATTTATGGAGCATTTAAACAAACAGGTATTTAAAGTTTTGTTTCCAAACTTCTAACAGGAAAGATTCCTTGCTCCCAGAAGCAGAGACCTGCTGGTTGAGTCCTGTTGTACTGCATAGCTTCCATTTGGGGCTGTGTTTAGCCATGGGCTAAGGTGCAGTTTAGGAGAAGTTACTTTAGATGTGCGAGAGTGTCAGGGTGAGAACACAGGGCTGCACAACTAGCTGGTGTTAAGCTGCACCTGTACCAGGCTGCAATGGGAGCTGCCAGTGGTTGAATTCTGCTAGGAGAAATGTTTAGTGTTTGAGGTGCTGGAAAACCCAGAGTTATTACTAGCCTCCTTGGGGAAAATCTTCAGTACATTTGAAGCCAGTGACAGTCTTGTGAGCCAGCAAGCAGGTGCTTAGGATGCTCTGTCCAGTGTATGTGAGGTCATTAGGCCCCACTGCCAGCGACAATAGAGCTCCCCCCCCCCCAGTTGTTCAGGGCTATTGGAGGTGAGCAGTGTGTAGCAGTCACTTGGGCAGAGTCCATGGCTGATGAAGCTGATGAAACAGAAAGCTGTTTCCCCCTCTTTTCTCACCGACCGTGAGACATCCTGTGAAAAGAAGTTGAAATACTACCTGCCGTAAAGTCACACCTTGTTCATTTTTATAAGTGCCTCCAAGCTCTGTTGTGTGGATACTGACTAGTCTACAGTCAGTTTTTCAGTTTTCACTTTGGGTTTGGCCTTTCTCGTTCCAGCTCTACTACCAGGTTTTAAACTTTGCCATGATCGTGTCCTCTGCACTCATGATATGGAAAGGCTTAATTGTTCTCACGGGCAGCGAGAGTCCCATCGTGGTGGTGCTAAGGTAGGTCCTGATCCTGGCCCTCATCGGGTCATACTGCTTCCCTGTGACAAGGAGCCCCAGTGCCTTGTGTGATAGCTGTAAGTTCATATTTTAATGGGATAAACTACTCAAACTTCTTTATTGATGACTATCGAGAGTGGCTTTTTTTCCCTGACATTTATTGAAAAATGTTATCTTTTTAAATGATGTTTTAGTGCAGTGCTTCTCAACCTTCTTAATGCTGCAATCCTTTAATACAGTTCCTCGTGTTCTGGTGATGAAAATAGTTTCCTTGCTACTTTATAACTGTAACTTTGCTACTGTTATAAATCATAATATACATATCTGTGCTTTGGGATGGTCTTAGGTGAGTCCCCCCAAAAGGGTCATTGGATCCCTAAAGGGGTTATGATACACAGGTTGAGAACCACTGTTTTAGAGTTTGTTGATGCTGTGCTTTTAGTGTATTGGAGCAATAGTTCAGCAAAGTGGGATAATGCATTATTAGTATACAAATTGACCTTTATACCTAACTAGTTTAAAATGTTAAGCAACACCCAGTAGAATGAGCATGTGCCCCTCCAGTTCCCAGGAAGCATCAGGAGCTGATTACCTCTCCTGTTTTGCTTATGAAAATGTATCTGTTTTAGAAGAGTAAATACGGTCAACTTCATGCAGCTATGAAGTTATTCAGGGGAGAAATCTTCGGCCCATTTGAAACCAAATGTCCCTATTTGGCAGCCAGCAGGTGCTTCAGGACGCTTTGTCCAGTGTGTCAGACATCATTAAGTCTCACTGTTGGTAGCAATAGAGCCTCTTTGTTGTATGGGAGTAGGAGGGGGCGATTGTGGTCACTTGATCAGAGTCATAGCTAACCAGTCCAGAAGCCAAGGTCACACTACAGGGCTTTTGCTCCCAAACCAGTGCCTTCCCTTTCACCATGATCTGCTACCAGACCATAGGGCTGCAGCCTGTGTCTGCACTTCCCCAGGGCACCTTTGTGTGACTAGCCAAGGAAAGGATTTGCACTCTTCCTAAATGTCTGAGGAAGTGTAGCTCACAGAGGGGCAGAGGCTCCTTGACTCAATCAGTGTTGACATAGTGTTTCAGGAATGCCCCTGGGCCTTGTGGTGCATTAGGAGGGAGAATGGGACCAGGCTCCTGGGTCCTGTACACCATATCCCTGCTTCAGTTGGAGCAGCTCCACTTTATGTACTTATGTGGTTATACTTCTAGTCAGAGGCCATTTGAAGGGAGGATAGCTAGGAGGGTTTTCGTTTTGTTTTGAAAGAGGGCTTAGGATGCCATTCGGTGGTAAAACACATTCAAGATCCTGAGTTTATCCTTAGCAAGGGAGCAGGGGGAAGGAAGCAAGGGAAGAAGGGAGGAGAGAAAAAAAAAAACTCAAGCTTTTGTTAGGAGAAGGGGCTAGGTAGGAAAGAAACTCAGTGACAGAGTATATGTGAAGCATGTGTGAGGCCGTGTGTTCAGTCTTTAGATGCTAGAGGGAGAGGAGGACTCTAGGTGGGCTCTCTCATTTTAAGAGCAACACCCAGCTGCCTTCAGATCACGCACATACAGATGCACACAGGTATTTCTGTGAAATTGAGTACTTTAAAAAAAACAAAACAAAACAAAACAAAATCCTTTATAGGTTTTAAAGCAATCTGGTTTGAAATCATGAGCTGCCCCTGTGTTGCTTGGAGGTCCCTGGCCATGGAAGAAGAGACCTGCAAGTTGATGTTACTGAATTTCGAGAATTGCTGGACTACAGTGCCCCACCCCTACCCCTGGTAATTTGGGAGGGGTGTCTTTTGTCAGTGCAATCCATTGTCACCACCTAGAGAGTTTTCTAACATGGCCTCCCTGCTGGTGGCTTTGGGAAATTTGTTGAACGAATAAAGATGAAGCCATTGATGGAGAAATTAGGCATGTTGGCCATTGTTCTGTAAAAGAAAACAAATCCGAAGCATGGATAACTTTCAGAGGAGGACACAATGAAATTCTATGTTGGGGCCAAATTTGTTTTACCCAGCTGTTCTTCTCTCCCTTAGTCAGTTCTGCCATCAGCCCTTTCCTCTTTTTATATGCAGAGCACTGGTTTCACTTTTACACAGAGCCCTGCAGGTGCTTATTGACAGGCCACCTATCTCCTCCCTGCTTTCTGTCTACTGGGAAGGAAGCTTGTGGGGCACCAGCACTGTGTAGTTGGAAGGAGGCCCAGCCTCATGAACCACACTCTCCCTTAAAGGCCCCGGACTTCATTTAGCCCGTTTCTTTTTCCTTTCCGATGAACAGATAGTACTAGCTCATCCTTGCTGCCCAGCTCCTATGAAATCATATTTATAGCTCTTATTCTGTTCCTATGCATTACACTTTAACTTTCTATTCCCAGTAGATTGCAGTTTACTTTGAATACTTCAGGGATTTTGGCACAGATTTGAACTATTACCATGAAGATTATGTGTCATCTTCCACACCAATATTACTTGTTAGCACTGGGCTCCTGTAGGACTTGATCTAAAGGTTGATGGTGCAAGTGGCCAAACTGGGGTTCAGAATTTATTCCAGCCCCCAGCATGCTTTAGGACTATATTCATTTGTTTGTTTGTCATCCCCTGGAAAGATCCTGCAGTGCTGTGGGTGCTGAGGCTGTGCCATGAAATGAAGGGATCACCCTAGACATTAGCCAGAACTAACAGTCTGCAGCTCCCAATGAAATGTGTCTGTGGAGGTGGGACTTTTTTTTAAAGGCCATAAGTAGGCAGCTTTTACTTCCAAGTTGACACTATTCTTGGTTCAGCTCCAAGGCAGTTCTTGTTCAAGGAGTGAGAGTAGGCTGAGAAAAAGACCTGCTAGTGCCCATTCCAAGCCTGACCCCAGCCTAAGTAGAAAAATGTCCTCACTGGCCATTTTCTTGGCTGAGGTGGAGGGAAACCCTTCAGGCTTGACATGCAGCATCTTTTGTGAATGTGGCTGGGAGTTTACACTTGCTACCCTTTTGACAGTCGATACCACTGACGGTGACTTTGTGTTTCTTTGCAGTGGCAGTATGGAGCCGGCCTTTCACAGGGGAGATCTGCTGTTCCTTACAAACTTCCGGGAGGACCCCATCAGAGCTGGTGAAATAGTTGTTTTTAAAGTTGAAGGAAGAGACATACCGATAGTTCACAGAGTAATCAAGGTTCATGAAAAGTAAAGAGGCTTTATTTGCTTTTATTTTGGTATTGTAAATTTCGGTAGATGGTTTTAAAAAATCAGTGAGAAAATCTCAAGATCCAGATTTGTTCTCATTCTGCCATTTATTAACTGGGAAACATGGTACCAGTGACCTGACTGGTTTTGTTACCAGGGAGGGATAGTATTTCACCCACAATAACTCCTAGGGTGATGATGAGAGCTAAGTGAGATATGTTTACCAAAACATGTAAAAACATACCCAGATTGCTGCACAAATGTAAGGGGTGTGTTGTGTTATCTGTCTGAAGGAGTCTCAAAGAAAATCACACAAACCAGATTGATTACTCTGATACCAGGATTTTCTTCTGATGTGTAGTAAAGCTAGCTGTTTCTGTGTGTCACCGTGGTACTTTTAGCAGCAACTTCAGTCCTTGTGGGGTTAAAAACCTCCTTTCCCAGGGTAACTCATGATTTGGGCATAACATGTCCTGTATTAGTTCTGGTCCCCCGCCTGCTATCCACAGCCAGCCTCACCTTCCCCTTAGGTAGCAGGGATGGCCTAAGACCTTAATAGTGTCTGTTTTTGTTTAATGAAAACATTTAATTCTAGCTGGAATACAGGAAGTTTTCATGTGAGAGTGAGAGATTTACATTTTATATACCTTTACCTTTGTGCAGCTTTTATATTAGCATTTTTGTGTTCATGGTTTATAAAATTAAATTTAGACATGGATGTCTGTGTTTTAAAAGATGGTGACCTTTTCACCGTGCAGGGATGAGAAGGATAATGAGAGGACAGAGTTTGAGAGCGACTTCCCTACTTCCAGGGCTACTTAAAATACTCACTTTATTTATCACATTAACTTTTTGACTAGTTCAGATTCAGTACAGACCTCTTATATGCAGGCATTGTGTGAGTGGTTAAAGGCCATCTACTCGCTGAATTCCTGAGGAAGAAGCAGGGATGACGTGACAGGACTTTCACCTCGTTTGAAAATGTTTTCTAAAGATGAAGAGGTGTTCAGTGTTGGGTCAGTGATGACTTTTTGCTGTAGCTTCCACAGATTGTAGAGGATGTTTGCCCTCTTGAGTTTGTACAACCTTGGCGACAAATCAGCTTGTTCCTGTAGACAAGGCTTCAGATGCTTGCAGGCTTCCAGCCTCTTGTCTCATTCTACAGTGCCTGTTTACATTTGTCTTTCTGAAAGACTTCCTCTTTCTAACTACACAGTGCTACAGGTTTGTGTTCCAGTCCCAGGTTTATAGTGAGCACCCATTTAGAATACTTAATGGATCCTGCCTGTCTGATGACAGTGTTTGTCTAATGCCATTCATGACTGTTTCCCTGAAAATGGGATTTACACCACTGTGCTTAATGGTGAAGGAAATAATGCATTAATAGTTGTACATTTGATAAGCTTAAGCTCCGTTAAAAAGCAGGGCCACATTTAAATTGCCTTATCCACAAATCACTGTGGTTTGGGCAAAGTTCATATGTAGAATAAGAGTGAGAACCATCCTAACAGACTTTTCCGTGAGGACTAAGAGGGGACGAGGACAGTTCAAGTGCAGGTCACTAAGTCAACTTCTGCTGATTTCTGACTGAGTTAGACTTGAGAGGAACAACTGAAGTAAGTATGGAAAAGTTTATTGCCAATTCCGTTTTGGAGTGCTGTGAACCTAGACAGGACCTTGTCCCATAATCTTGTCCATGGATGAATGACACTGATACTCCTGTTTTTGGATTAAAAAAGAAGTTAAGTACCAGCCCTGGTTTCAGTGCAAGAACACCCAAGTAAGAAGTGATGTTGTGTAGCGGTGGCAAGTCGTTGCCTTCCCATTGCCCCAGTGTTTGCTTTGTGTTTCGGTTGTCAGGGTTACTTGAATGTTTTGGAATTTAAGTCCATGAAATAGTCATTAGATCTGTGCTTCAGCTCAGTGGTTATCTGTAAGCAATCAACTTAGACCAACGAGAGGTCAAGCCTTCCTCGGCGATTTCTAAATACTCGTGTCTGGCTGTAACGTCTGGGTTAAACTAATATGTTTTTAATGATGGCATGCTGAGAATGACTTCTGAGAGGACTTCATTTTGCTTTCCAGAGATAATGGAGACATCAAGTTTCTGACTAAAGGGGATAATAATGAAATTGATGATAGAGGCTTGTACAAAGAAGGCCAGAACTGGCTGGAAAAGAAGGACGTGGTGGGAAGAGCGAGAGGGTGAGAATGAACTTCTTGTTACACATAGCCTTTAGACACCAGAAAAGCATTTAAAAATAAAGAAACCAAGCTTGTAAGACAATAGAGTCATTTGTCACAAACGTGACACATCCGCAGTATTTTAAGCAGGTCTAGGCTGTGCTTTGAAGACTAATAAAGAAAATGTAAGTCTGGACTGTACAGTGAGACCCTGTCTTCCACAAAACATGTTCAAGGGCTGGAGACATGGCTCAGTGGTCTAGAACACTGTTTTTCTAGAGGACCCAGGTTCCATTCCCAGTGTTTCTGTGGCCGTTCCAGTCTTGGGGAATCTGACGTCCTCTTCTGGCCTCCTAGGGGATTGCACACAGTAGCACAGACATACACACAGGAAAAGCACTCACATGTGTAAAATAAGTAATAATTTTTTAATAAAGAAAACTTAAAGCAATCTAAGAACCCAAAAGCTATTAGCTGAATTGGAATATATTACCTATATCTGGGTTTAATTCTATTCCAAAACACCTAGAGATTAATTGTTTGTGGGGGGGGGCTAAATGCCAATGACTAGAAATCCTCCAAGAGATGGCCTCTGCTTAGTACTTTAGAGAATGTTCTGGACTCTACTAGTAGATGTGTGCACATGTAATATATAGTTTTAACTGGGAGGATTGAATCTTTATATCCAACCATAAGTGGAAATAGCTTTTTGTGTCTAATCTACCCTTTTAAGTGGCTAAATACTGTTCTTTTGGCACCCATAATTTCATATGCAAGTGTCTTGGAAGATTTTTTTGTGCTAGACATTTGGATTATTTTTCTATTTGATTTTCACAATTAGAAAGTTTTGTGGTAAAATTTTAAATGCATGATTATTTTAAGAATTAATTATGATTGACACTGTACAGAATGTATCTCACTTTTAAAATTAGTAAAGGAGATGATTCCCCTTTCTCAGTGACCCGCTTATAAATGTTAATAATAAGTCAAATTTAAAACCCCTGTTAGAAATGCCTAATTGCTCTCTCGTTCTCACTAGCTACACAAAAAAGGACAGACAGCTTCTGTGTGTGACGGTCATCTTTCCTAATCAGGTGGTGTTACAAGGGATCTTACCAAGCCGTCCCCCACTTTCTTCTGTCGCACTTACTCAAGTGTCTGCAGGGAGACCAGGGTGACCTCCTGCTAGCCAGTCCCATATTTCTAATGCCGATGAAGGCCATGAACAGGAGAGGCAGAAGCCACAGTGCTGACTGGAGGTGCTGTGGACGTGGCACCCGCTTCTTATTAGCACAGATGATGAGGCTGTAGCACACCACTTACACACTGATGCTGATCTTGTGGCCAGTCACTGCTCTGAACTGTCCATCCTTTCTGGGACCATGGTCTGAGTTACAGGATCCACATTTGTGTTCTTTTCTCAGTAAACTCATTTGTTATGTTTGAAAAGCACTAAAATGAAAACCATGATATTTAAACTCCACATGCTTCCCTGTGTGCTTTCAAACTTTATTTGTTGTCTGGTTTCTTTTCAGGTCATATAAATCTTTTGTTTTTATTTTTGAAGCTTTTTCTAGTAACTGTTTTTGCATAGGCCTGAAAATACTTTTCTTCCTAAAAACAAACTCAGCTAGATTTATGAAAGTTGCTTATTATACTTGTACAAATGGTTCAACTAATTGTTTTAACAGTACCACGAACAGCCAGAGAGCTTTGCTGCTCACACCACATACAAACCTGCCTGGCCTTTGTGCTTTTATGCTTTGCTGCCCAAGCCTTGAGAAAGGAGTGAGGACCGGCCTCACACTCTAGTCAGTGGTGTGCCGTGCTAAAACTGGTGTCCTGAGATCAATGTATAGATAGAGCAGTAAATTGTCATATAGTAAATTAATTTTACATTTCTCACTTTTCATTCCCACAATTTAGGTTCTTACCTTACGTTGGTATGGTCACCATTATAATGAATGACTATCCAAAATTCAAGGTAGGAATTTGTGTGTGTATGTGTATGTTTACTTAAGTTTTTAAACATTGGAGCTTTTAAATATTGTACAGTTGTAAATAGGAAGTCATCATAAAATGTTTTGCCATTGATTTTTCTGTGGAGCATTTGTAGTTTATCTACAAATTAACATAATAACCTAAATTATTAACATTTAAACCAGTTATTTAAGACAGCTATTTTTACCTTTTATATTAATTGTGTTGTTAAGTGGTACTTACAGGATTGTTGATTGTTATGGAAAATTTTTAACCTAAACTGAAGTAGCATCAAAACCCTGGTCATATTTATCAACCAACTTCAACAGAAATGGCATTTCTATTTTAGAAAATCGCTTGACAGACAACACGAAACCTACAAAGGAATAAGCATTAACTGTGTTTGTCAGGTATTTGATCCCGAGTCATCAGTATATTTTGGGGTCTTTATTCAGTGTGCACTGAACAGCTCATTTGGAGAACAAGGCATGTGGGAGAGAGGTCATCTTTTGAGTCTGCCCTCAGTCCAGCATTGAGCAGGCTTCATCTGAATACATTTCTAAGCCCAAGTTTATTTGTAGACCTCACGATGATTTTCCATTGTGCTTTCTCTACAGTATGCTCTTTTGGCTGTGATGGGCGCATATGTGTTACTAAAACGTGAATCCTAACACGAGAAGCCGTCCCTGGGACCAGATTGAAATGAATTCTGTTGAAAAAGAGAAAAGCTAATATATTTGAAATGTTCCACTTTCTGTATAAAGGGAAACCAGGTGGAGATGTTTTTGTCTTGTCCAAATAAATGATTCACCAGTAAAGATGGCTTCCCTTTGTGGCCTCTGATTGGAGTCTGCTCAGTCTCTGAACTGTTGGAGGTAGTGGCTCCCCCAGGATGGGGTCGGCAGCACTTCTAGACCCCGGGCCATGTGTTGTGGCCTGGCCTGGAGGAGGGGGCATGGCATAGTCCGCATGATACAGTCCCAGTGACTAGTTTCAAAAATAAAGTTCCAAGTTTACAGATCACTGTGTCTGAGGGAAACAAGCTCTTCAAAGAGGATGACTTTTTATTCATTCACGCATAATCTGATAAACAAATGAAGTCCACAGCCTTTTAGAAGGAGGAGATGCAATCTGTTTTGTTTTTGTGGTATATTTGGGGATGGTTTGGCCAGCTATTTAAAGCATTCAGTAAATTATAAAAACAGCGCGGAAGCTGGAGAGATGGCTCAGTGGTTAAGAGAGCTTACTGCTCTTGCAGAGGACCCAGGTTTGGTTTCCAACACCCACATCAGGCAGCTCATGCCCTCTGGCTTTCTCAGGCACCTGCACACACATGGTACACATATGTTCACATGGCAGATATGCATACACATAAATAGACAAATGAATAAGTAGATATAAAAGAGTGCATACATCTTTGAAAAAATGTAAGAACACAGAAGTAAAGGGAAGTCATTCTTTCTCTCACTCCTTTCCATTTCTCAGGAATTTCTTTGGTGGATTTAGCTATTTCTACTCTAACTGGCCCTGTATCAAAAGCAGTTTCTCATGGAAATACTGAATAAGTATCGAGACTCCTGCCACTGTCATAGGTGCTGGAGACGCACAGCCTTGATGGAGGTTCCAGGGTAGTAGGTGGAAGAGAGAAACAAATCTGGAGTTTCAGGTGGTGATAATGACCATGAACAAAGACTAAGCAGGAGAAGCAAATGGAAGGTATCAGAAGTTACTATTTGAATTATTGGTGGTGGTGGGGACAGGGGAGATAACTCACTCAGTAAAGTGCCTTGCGCTGTAAGGGCCAGAGTTCAATCTCCAGGCATAGAGGTACTCACTTGTTAGCACCGAGCAGATAGACAGATTTGTCCTTGGTGCTCACTGATCATACAGCTTAGTCCACTGGGAGATATCCAGACCAGCGAGAGACCCTGTCTCCAATAAGAAATTTTAAAAAAAGAGAAAAGGAAAAATGGGGGATGATGCCTGTGTCTGAGGACAAACACACCACAGGGTGGAAGGTCTGGGGAAATAATTCAGTGGTAAAGTGCTTGCTGTATAACCATGAGAATGTCTGCTTGGTCACTAGAACCAGTATCCAGCACAGCCAGGAAGGGTGGTACATTTCTAATACTGGCAGAGACAGGTGTGTCCCAGGGCTCACTGATGACCCAGAGTAGCCTATTGGTGAGCTCCAGGCTCAAAAAGTAAGATGGACAGTACCTGGGGTTGTCCTCTGGACTTCACATATGCACACGTGAACGTGTACACCTACACACATACAAATCTACTCTGCATACACAAACACACATGTAAAGAGGTTATATGGAAAATAGGGATGCTTCTCTGAAGGCAAGCTGCATCGATGTTACATTAAAGATTGAAAAAAAAAAAAAAAAAGAGTAGCTTGAACCAAGATGGAGTCCAAATTTGAATTCTCCACTTCTCTCCCTTACCTTCCATCTGTCTATAGTTTGTGATCTGTGGTCTGTCATGTGTGTTCTGTGTCTGTTCCTGTTGCCTATCTGTTCCTAACAAAGGGCACATAAAACATGGGTATGAGAAAGAAATGAAATATTTTCTACAGAAATGTTTAGCAATTTTGCAATGAAAGAACTTTACTGACCCCAACTGACCCAGAATAACACTCCTAAATACACACATTACCAACCTATGCTGATGTTTCTTCCAACACGTACAGGATATTTGTTGTTTGAGGTTGCTTTCAACTTGGCTGGTTTCAGAAAATGATTACCACAACCCACACCTACACCTACGCATGTACATTAGTCTGGGTCCAGGGCATGGAAAAATACTTAATCAAAGCTATGTACTTAGGTTAAAGCTGATTGCATGGGAGGTATAAGGCATAGTAAGGTTGGTTACATAACAGCCAGTTAGGTTGAAACAGGCTGAGCACAATAGGATGCAGATTGAATACATAATCTGAAATTGTCTCAAGGCATATTATTAACTTGGCTGCAAAGTCTGGCAAAAGTTCTGTTTCTTTGAAGGCGTGGGGCTCTCTGCAAACACCACAGCCAGCAGAGAGAGGCAAGAAAGTTCAGTTCAACATGACTCAGTGGCTGGTGTTGGTTTAGACTTTGAAAGTCTGACCTTGAGTAGTTTATTTTAGGCACATTTAAGCATGGTTTCCTGGTGATAACTCAATCCCATGTGCACATCATGTCTTAACATGACTACTTCGAAACTCCTTGTAAAGTGACATCTTCCATAAAGATAGGTTCTATAGATTTACTGAGAAAATACACAGTGAATCTGAAAAAAACTCTTCGGCCACACAGATGGCACAAAAGCCACCAGGCTATTAAGCATGTCTTCTCCCAGCATTCTGGGCCAGAAACAGGTCATAGATCTCTCCCTTTGAAAAGACAACCCTGTGTGTTTAACATTCATGGTTTCCCTAGTGTTTATCTGTGAGTGCTGAAACCTCCATGCCTCTAAAATTAAGGCAAGACGGATTTTCAGAAAGGTATTACTACAGCAAGCATGTGGGTCCTGGAGAAGAGCGTGCCAGCCCACAGGGACAGCAACTGTGAAGCAAGCAGGTCAACCGAGCTCTTCTCAAGCCTGCTGGAACTCGCAGGTCTCTGGTTGTGCTGATGGATTCTGGGTCAGAAGGTCTGTGATTCTATATTGTAACATGCTCCTGGGAGAGATGCTGAGGTGCCCAGACCACAGGCTGCACGGCCAATGTTAGAGGAATGAAAAGAGCCAGTGGTGTTTGAATATGCTCCATTGTTTTCTGAGCACTGTGACATCCATGTCTGGGTCAGAATTTAATCACCTTCAGTCTTTCTTTGGGATTTGTTCCATCCTGATCTAAGAACTTAAAATCTCTGAAAGTTCTTTGATTACCTTCAAGGCCTTAGGCAAATTACTTAACTTTCCTCAGCTACAGATAGAAGATACAAACAGCATGTACCAAACCAGGCCATCATGAATAAAGCAATAACAGAGTGCTGGAAGCATAGGGTTTGACCTGTATACACTTTTCCCTTAATGACTGTTGCCCTTTTGTCAGTGGTCATGGTGGTTGCAAGCCAGATGCACAGGTCATTCATACTTTGTTGCCTTTATAATAGTCTTCTCAGCTGCAAGAGGCTTCTAGCAGATTTCAAGGAGAGGGATCCCCTTTTTCCCACAGTCTTCATGTTTTTCCCTCTTTCTGGCCTGCTTCCCTTTCAGTGCAAGCCTGTACCATGTCATACACCAGCCCAGTCCTTTCCCCCTGGCTTGTGACATATTGAAGACCAGCAGGGGCGTTCTGTTGGGGGCCACCTGCCTTCCCATCCTTTCTGTCTGTTAAATAGGCTGTTGCAACAATAATGGGCCTCATCCTGTTAAAATCGGCCAATTGAAAGGGGAAAAAATGTTTAAAGACTGCTCCCTGAAGATACTGTTCTCCTTAATAAACCGTTGAGAAAAATCAAGTTTTCTTTTCTTACCTAAAAATAGAATCTGAAAATGTTGGGTCAGAACTTGATAATTTTATCATCTTCTTGGGGCTCTAGTTGGTTCATATAAACTTTAAAAGGGCTCTTATTACCAAGGTACTAGGAGTTAGATCCCTGACAGGCAAGCAGACAGGGAAAAGAGGCTGTAGGTGGGTGGTTGTACTTTCCCTCTAAAACATTTAAGGTGACTGACTTCCTGCTTCTTCAAGACAAAGACTTCATGGGCTTTTTCCCACCAGGAAGAACTATTCATTGGGACTTTCAAATCTCCCATGAAAGAGGCTCCTGTGGTAGGATCCAACCAGCTCCCTTTCCTTTATCTGAGGGGAGAAGAGATCTCATCTCATCCTCAAAGACATACAAAAGTTTTGGCTCTGCCAGACAAAGTTGGATTCCCAGGTCTGGACTCTTCCCAAACTTCACCCATCCCTAGCCCTGGGGTAGCACTGTGGGGAGCTTGTTTCTCTGTGTGCCTGGCTGTGTGTGCATGTGTGTGGTTCTGCTTTCAATACAACTCAAATGAGTACTGAGACTAATTTTTTCTGCTTTTTCTTCTTTAAATCTGTAGAGGAAACAAATCCATTCCTGTAACCTTGGACAACTTCACCATCAGTGTGGCTAAGTGTTTTGGAAATTCTTTGAACTTGCTTTCCATTCTGAAATACATCAACCTGGAGTCCTATCACAGCTTAGCTAGTGCCGTTTATTATGGTTGGTTATTAGAAAGATCTTGTGTGTGTTAATGTGGATTGTGTGTGTGTCTGTGTGTGTGTGTGTGTGTGTGTGTATGTGGATTTTGTGTGTGTCTGTGTGTGTGTGTGTGTGTGTGTGTATGTGTGTGTGTATAGAGGCATATGTCTGTGTGTGCACATGTATATGGAGTCCGGAGGACAACCTCAGGTGCTGTTCCTTCAGAGGCATCCAATTGTTTTTTTTAAGATGGTCTCTCACTGAGACCTGGAACTCACCAATTAGGTTAGACTGGCCCGCCAATGAGCCCAGGGATCCTCCTGCCTCTAACCTTCCCAGGCAAACACTATCAAACCTGACTTTCTAAAAAGAAAATTAACTTACACAGATGCTGGGGATTAAATTCAGTCCTCATGCTTGCATGGTAAGCAAGTTCCTGACAGCCGTCTCAGCCTCAGTGAGGTCTGTTGTGACCCCTCCACGATTTTGGTCCTTATAAAATGGAAGTGATGAGATTCAGCTAATTCTGAATTGAATTTCTTTTACCCGGGGCACCTCAGTTACAGCCTCAATATCTGAACACACCAACAAGAACCAGAACTCTCTGAGCTGGAGGCATATCCCTCAGGTAGATTTCCTCCTGGTGCTTTTCTGATG